TATATATATATATATAACAATTATTTTAACTTATAACATAACAATAATACTAGAATATTTGTAACAATAAAGATCGTACTACAATTAATATTACAATTTTAAAAAATCTATATTATATATATTAAGAAAAATACTCTGATAATATCATAATTCTTTAAAGCTATTCAAATCTAATTTAGTTCCACGAAATTTTTCGAACATTTGCATTTGAAAAAAAATTGCCTACTTTTGAGCGTAATTTAACCCACTGTGCACTGTTCGTAGCCTACCCAACTGCGCTGCCACAGCCCGCCCCCAATTTCAATGCAAGCCGTAAAGCTAACGGCGTTTTTGAGGTTTTTGTGCTTGTGCCGTAATTTAACGAAGTCAAAACGAGAAAACAATAAAAGCCGACGCAGCTTGCAGAACAGCAACAACAACAACAACAACAACAGCAGCAGCAGCAGCGGCAACGGCAGCAACAGCGTCGGCTTCAGCATGTGATTGTATTGGTGTGGGAGAGTAGAGCACTCATTAAGAGGCAAGCTCTCGGGACTTCTCCTTGAGTGTGCGTGTCTGCATACATGTGCACTATATTGTTGTGTGTTATATTTGTTTATGTTTACAACGAGCGAATGAGCGAGCTCAGCGAACAGAGGATGCGCGCGCTCCTAGCCACCTGCCATTCTAAGTGGTTAACATTGTGAGCGAGATGGCGCGCGGCGAATTCATTGGCAGAGTGAGCGCGAGAGCGAATGCTCAACTGTAGACAGCGAAATATTAATGATAATAACATTAGATGCATAACATAATTATGCTAATAGGCATTCCAAGCAAGCGCCTCAAAGTGGACAAAAATGGCTGACCTAAAAATACAAATATTGGTAATTTTAAGTATGTGTGTATCTGTGTGAGTATATGTGCGTATGCGAATATTAATTAGCTGTAAATTACAATGGGCATTCTTCTAATTATTGCCCACACATAAGAACATGCTTCGAATCGCAGGCGCAGCCACAATACAACTCTCACAAACACACAGACACACACACCAAAGCACACACTTATAAATATATATATATGCATATGTACGTCTGTATATGTGCAGTAGTTGACTTGACTGCTGTTACTGCGATTGCATAAAAGCCAAAGGACGCTGCCTGCACTCCCGCAGTCGCTGGCTAAACGCGCACTTCGAAAGTTCATTTTTTTTAGTTGGCCATCTATCGTGCATTATCCAAAATATAAATCTATATTTTGCGTGTGTTGAGCAGAGTGCTTTTGTTCAGTTTTTTTTTGTGTGTGCTTTGTGATTGACTTCGAATAGTGAAGGGAAACAAATTTTTTAAAATTCTAAACAAGCAAATCTAAATAAAAAATACGAGAATTTTCAATTATTCACTTTAATGGCTGGGCCTTTCATATCGCCTCTGCCGGGCGATCTGCTCACGGAGTACATGTTCGGCCGGAGACGCCAGCGACGTAATCGTACCACATTCACGCCACAGCAGCTGCAAGAGCTGGAGGCCCTATTCCAGAAGACTCACTATCCGGACGTCTTTTTGCGCGAGGAAGTTGCGCTGCGCATCAGCCTCAGCGAGGCACGCGTCCAGGTGAATCAATGCTGCCGCCAGCTATGCCACGATGCTTCCCTCGCCGAATGTGCAAATATTGTTCATTTCTGAGGATCGTTCGGCACATAAACGGCATATATCAAAGCGTAATAGAACTTTTCCCCTCATACTTAAGTATTATTCAAATTGATTGAGGTTATTTCTTTTTTTTAAATCTCTTAGTTCGTGATAAATTTTAGCTAAAAATTCAATAGAATATGTTTCTTGGCAAAGAAGAATTTAACATATAGGATAGGTCAGTTCCATTTAGATGAAAATACCTTCTTTTTTGCAAATAACACTATATGAGAGATGAGCTGCTTTTAGTTTTTAGAGATTTATATTTATAATGTTGATTAGGGGTTTTTATTAGTAATTGGAATAGCAAATCATATAAAAGAGAAAGATAGCCATAAATATCAATCTATTCAGTCAAAGAGTTTATACATTTCTAGCTAGTTTCTAAATAGTTAACATAGATCTACGAAAATAAATTACATATCCAATCAAATTCTATTGAAACAGCATGAATTGTATTATAAATTAAGAGTGGTATAGATATTGTGAAGCTCGTGCGCTATTCAGTCAAAAGTTTATACAATTGCAAATACGGTTAAATTCTCTAGGAAATGTGGTTCTTGAAGAAATTTTATAAACTTGGAAAGGTATGAGCCATCGAGTTTATACATAAATATATGTACTTCATATAGAGCCAATACTCTTAATACTTTTCTACTTTTTACTTGTCAATGTGATATCTGTATGTCTTCCATCTATATCTTGCTTCCGTTCGGGTTTATTGACTTTTACCTTTTGACTTGCAGGTGTGGTTCCAGAATAGGCGCGCCAAGTGGCGTAAGCAGGCACGTCTGCAGCTGCTGCAAGATGCCTGGCGGATGCGCTGCCTCAGTCTGGGCACTCCGCCCGTTATAGGCGGGGGCGGAGGTGGAGGCAGCGGCTCGAATAGGCCAGCCAATGGCACAGTGGCCAACGGCGGCAATGGCAACAGTCAAATGCCAGAGAATTTGTCTGCTGGCAATACACCAAGCAACAAGGATGCCATGATCAATAGTGATGCGGGCGGCACTGATGTGCCGGCTGCACTGGCCAATGGACAGGGCGCCAGCAACTTTACCATGATGCATCCAGCTTTCCAACAGCAACAGCAACAGTCAACGCATTCCCAGTCCGAGCACGAGAAGCTATCGAAAACCTATACGGAACTGAAGCTCTACAAGGAGCCAACAGCGCATGGTGTCGCCGAACTGGATTTGGGTGGCATGTCCGCCCTTGGCCCAACCTCCGATGAGGGTTCTGATGGCTCTGATTCTGAGGAGATTGATTTGACATCGGGTGCCTGCATAGATTTCTCTCAGAGCAGCAAATTGCAACAGCAGCAACAGCAACAGCAGCAGCAGCAGCAACAGCAACAACAGCAGCAGCAACTGCAGGCCGCAGTTTTGGCGGCGACACAACCGCAAACCTCAAATGGTGTGCACTAGACCTGAGGGTGTATATAGCGAACAATAAACGATGCATGTAATGTTAATGTGCATTTGAGTTTATTTATTTCCCTTTCGTTTTTTCTTTTTTTTTTCAACGAATTGCAGATACAATTAAATCGTATTTATAGACTATCGCCTAAGGTATTCTTTTCATATTTAAATTTAAATTTGAAACGAGTTTTTGTTGTCTATCGATATCAATTAATTGATATCGCGAAGGCAGCTATTTCCTTAACAGCTCAAGAAATTTAACAGAGAGGCAACTGCAAAAAAATGTACTTGAAATTCTTTTTATGCTATCAAAAACTGTGAGCGACTTACTAAGTCATATTTGACGAAATAAAGAATATTTTAATTGGGTAAGTACTATTCTAGCTTGGATGCATCAATGGATATATTTCTTAGGAGATAAATAAATGAAATAATCTCACTGTAAAATTTTACTTAAATTTAGAATCCGTACGATGTACGGATTAAAGGTTAAATTTATCAATTATCAACTAATATATATTGTAAGGTTTGTTTACACCAACGTAAAGGGAGTTATCGCTTGAAGTGTATATTTATTTAAATACATACATATTTAAGGAGCGCATTTCTAGCTATCAATTTCACACTATTTTTGAAAAGTTTATAAATTTGACATATAATGGGCGCTTCACACTTTCCTCAAATATTTCGAAGCTTGACAAAAACATTTCAAAGCTAAAGACAAAAATTTTATGTATTGTAAAAGTTCAGCTTGACTATATTCAGTCATTAGATATTTTAATATCATGAATTGCAATATTAAAATTTATTTTAATTTTATTATTTTTCTATATATTGCACAATGAATTTGGCGGCAAAATTTGAAGTAAGTAAATCGTTTTATTAACGGTATTTTGTCATACGATTATTTGTGTATCGATAGCCAGTTAATTATCAAATTAACATTTTGACGATAGTCTACAACTAGTTGACGCTAATTTCTCAAAACTACTCAATTGGTACTGTTAATCAAATTTTTAAATATTTCAACTCTTAATAATCTGGAATTAATAATTGGAAACCGGAATTACGATGACCTGTAAAAAATGCAATAACTCTCCCATAAAAAAACTTGATGCAATTATAAACTCCACAGTAAAATTTATTTTTGTCGCCCGAGATGTTAATATCAATGTTAAGTGTTTTTAATTTTGTTTAATAAGTGAAATCATTTCTCAACATATTATATATAACTGTATGAAGTTACCTCTTCGCTTAACGTCTAATACATAAATAATTTAAAGCTTACTTAACTATAAATTGTTTCAATCGTAGCCGATTTCGCTGGACTCTCCACATAAATGAAAAAAAAAAACACACATCTTGAAATGCAAATAAAAAATACTTTTGGATAATTTCAATTAATCGGTTGAATCGAAACAAAGCTTCACAATTCACGAGCAAATTGCTTATAATAATTTACATATAACATATAATTTAATTTAAGTTCGTTCAAATATTAACACAGGGCAAAATGAAATATCCGAATATCATAATTATAAACAATACGCACAGAAAATGTCAACACAATTTTGTTGGGCCTTGTAGTAGTGGTCATTTGTGTTCGAAAAAAAAATCATCTTAAATACTAAGAGTTGTTACTGTATGTGTAAATATAATGCTAAAAAAATACAATAAGAAAGCACTTGAATTTCTCTAATGACAAAGGCAACTTGGTGTTCGTCTTGTTTCTATTTTACATATCTCCCTTCATTCCCTTTCACTCTCGCTCTGTCACTGCCTCTCTTTTTCTGAGCTGACTGCTGCATACAAATGTTTGGCTTCTGCTGCAGTTAACCGCTGCAAAAGAAATGTTAGAAAAGGGAATTAATATTCTGTAATAAACAGGAGGATTTTGTGTGTATGTGTGTGTGTGTGTAAGAACACGCTAAATGCTTTGTACAACACTTAAACTTAGGATAACAGTATGAAGTGAGAGGGAATATTGGAAAGATCAGCGTTAGACAGAGACAGATATGCGTGCAAGGGTAATCGACTGGAAGTCCCTGAAGCACCAATTGAAACAGTTACAGATGACGACAGACGAAAGCTCATTTCTCTTACTCTTTGTTGCTGTTGTTTCAGTTAATATTTCTGTTGTTGCTGCTGCTGTTGTAGTTGTTGCTTTTGCTGTTTGTTGTTGCTTACTATTGTTGTATTTGCTGTTGCTGCTGATGAAGGTGGCTGCGACTGCGACTGCGGCTGCGGCTGCTGATCTCAGGGGTTCTCAATGGGATTATTGTTGTTGTTGCTGATCTTGATTTTAGCGGTTCGTGTGTTTTTAGTGCATTATGGGTTTTGTTGTTGTTGCTTGCTTGCTTGGCTTGCATTTGTTAGGTGTGCGTGCAACTGCATGCCGAAAGTTCGCAGCACTTACTTTAAAAAGTCATTCATATTGATGTAATTTTTATAACTAAATAAAGAGAAATACATAAATGTAGAAATTGGCATCTTAAAACAAAAAAACAAACAAACAATAAACTAAAACTAAACAAATATGCATAAATAAATATCAATAGACATTAAGCACAGTTCATTTGGTGGACATGCAGCGGAATGAATTGGCGGTGGAAGTGGTGGTGGTGGTGGGTTGGTTGTGGTGTAGGTGGCATAACAAAGCAAACAGAACAGAAAACAGGGCGAAGCACAGACAGTAACGAAGTGGAGCAAGAGAACGAAAGGCAGTGTGTGTATGGTTAAAGCGCGAGCTCCATGTGAAGAGTAATGTCCACATACATACATACATACATATATATTTATATATATATATATGTGTATACATTTGTTTGTACCTTTTGGCCGATGTGGTTCGCGAGTAGGGATTCTGCAAGATCTTCGGGTGCGTCTCCATGACGCGCAACAGTAAATTATCCAAATAATCCTCCAGCTCCTTGACGCGCTGCCGCTGCAGCAATGCCTCATTCTCCATGCCATTGGCAATGAGCATCAGCTCCTGCAGCAGAAAGAGCGAGACGGAGAGAGAGAGGGATAGTCAGCTATGGCAGCAAGCAAAAGAGATTCGAGTCGAGACACACTCACCTCCCGTGATTTGCCCTCGTACTTTTTGGCCAACTGTGCCGAGATCTCGGAACGGCGATCCGCATGCGAGCCCGACTTCTCGTGGCCAATGATAATGCGCTCCGTGGACTTGGGACTGGGCGAATTGCTATCCGTATCGTTTTGTTTGTCTGCAAAGGAACAAAAGGCAACACGAAAACGAGTTAATAATGAAATTCAAACATCGCCTGCCGGAGATGCAAACAAGAGTTGTGAGCGACATCGAACCAATTTTACGTGCTCTTTTGGTAGCTCTAATCAGAGTGCGATAGCAGTCCTTTGCGAACATATCCATCTGGTTCGAAATTGAGAGGGAATTGAAGCAGTTCGTGCGGCACTGGCAGCTCGCAGCAGAACCAACGAAATATTACAGAAAACAACAAACAAACAAACAGAAAAGATAAGAGAAGATATATGGTATATATATATGAATATATATACTTGGAGCTGGAGACAATGCACACAGCAGGAGAAGTTGATAGTGTGAGAAATTTGATGAGGAATGCGTAGGTAAATAAATATATTGAAATTTCAATAGGACGACACAGAGATGACAGCTGAGTTGGAAAATTGCTTGGATCGATTTGCTTGGCTCGATTGTCGGTGCCGACTCCGCCACACTCTCCGCTCTTGCATCGCCGGACAGCATAGAAATGCGGGGTATGCAAGATCTGATTGAGGTGTGACTAGTTGGTGGATTAGTTTGGTTCAGTTTTTGGTTCGGTTTTCGGTATTTCTGGATGGGTTTGCTGCTCGCTCAATTCTCAGTACGGTTTGCTTTCACTGCTTTTCTGTTTACAGCTCAAGCTGTGGTATCTTTTGGGTAGAACCGCTCACCTCGCTTATTGCCGTATTTAAATTTGCCCAGTCGCTTCTCCCAGCGTTCGCCGCTGCCGCTGCCGGCGCCTCCGCCGCTTCCTCCGCCAATGTTGTTGAACTCCTTGGGCGATTGCTCGGGCGTTAACAAATTGTGCTCTATGCTTGGATCAACATCGGCCATAGCCGCCGCAACGGCAACAAAAACGGGCGCAGCAACGGCCGTGGTTTCCTGCTCCTTCTCCTGCTCCTTTTGGCCAAATGCCTGCCTCGGCGATAGGGGCTTTGATGGCTGCTCCTCCATGGAGGTGGATCGCTTGGCAAAGCTCAAGAGTCTTTGATCCTCCTCACGCCGTTTGGCCTCACGTCGTCGCTGCTCCTCCTGCTGCAGTTCCAGCTCTTGCTGCAGCGCCGCCTCCTCTTCGCGCAGCCGCTGCTCGTTCAAGCGCAGCTCGGCCTCAAGACGCTCGTCCTCGGCGGCGCGTCGCTGGCGCGAGGCTTCCTCCTCGGCGGCAGCCTCGGCCATTGCCAGCGCCGCCGTCTCCGCCTTTAGCTGCTCGAGATTTGTTGCACGCGGCTGCGGCTTGGGGCGCTCACTTGGCAGCGGTTGCGGCTCTGCCGGAGGTGGCCTAGTCGGCGGCTCGGGAGGCAGCTGCTCATCCGCAAAGATGGCTGTGCTGTTGCGCTGCTCGAACTTGGCGAAGCTGGCATTGAGCGCATCAAAGTTGCGTGGCTCCACGTTCGGTGCGAAGAGCGAGCTGCTCTCGCTCTTGCTGCTGCTCTCGGCCGATAGGCGGGGCGGCACCACTGCCTTTGGCGGCTCCTCCTCCACCGTCTCAAAATCTTCTTCGTCATCCGATGAGCTCGACGAGCTGCTTGAGGAGGGAACCGGTGGCGGCTCCTCGCTGGTTGCCGGCAGCGGCACGCGTGTCTCCCAGCTGCGACGCTTCAAGGAGTCACTGCTGCCGATCTCCAAATACTTTCCGCCACCATACAACTTGGACTCCCACTCATCCACCTGGCTGCTGGGTGCCGTTGACTGTGCTGGCGCCAGCTCCGCTGGCATTTGGGCACTGCCCTCGGGCTTCAGCTCCTTCTGCTCCCGCTCCGACAGCTCCAGCTCCTGCTGTGTCTGCTGCGTGCGTGGCGGCTTTGAGGGAGGCGGCAGAGTGCGCGCACGAACGCTGAAATCGAGCTCAAGCTGTTCCATCTCCGCAACGATGGGATCCTCATCGACTGTCTCTTGCAATTTGGGCTTACCTCCGTTGAGTTTCCCCTTGGCAATGCTGCCTCCGTTGCTCAGCAGCGGCGATGGGTTGCGCGGCGTGAAATTGTTATTGCCATTGGACGAGGGCGGCTGCAGGCCGGAGCGCTGGATGTTCAGCGAGCTGCCCGAGCTCTTGTGTGACAGATTGTCGAACACAAACTCGTCCTCGTCCTCGCTAATGACGCCTGGATCGGCCTCGCCGGCGCGCTGGCCACGCCTCCGTCCGCTGCCACCGCCAACGCCGCTCAGACCCGACGAGCTGTTTGGCGTCCCAATGCTGGCAAAGGAGCCGCTGAACGAGCCGCTGTCATCGCCGTCCGCTTGCTTCTTCTTGCTGCGTATGTGCAGCTTGGAGCTGAGAGAGCCAGCTAGCTTCTTGATGCTCTTGCGCTTCTCGCCTTGGCCAATGGAGAGCAGGCTGCCGCCCACGGAGCTGGCCAGCTGGCCAATGGAAGACTTGTGCTTGTCCTTCTTGCTCAGATCTGTCAGCGATCCGGATTTGACAACGAACGCAATGCGCACCTCCAGCTCGCCGCGCTCCTTGTTCTTCTTCTCCTTGCCGGGCTTGCTCTCCAGCTTGCACCACTTGGCGCGCGGCCTATCATAGACGTCCATGTCCTTGAGCGGCAGCGTCGCCTGGCCCAAGAACTCATCGATGCCCAGATTATTGCGATGCAGGCATGTCAGCGTCAGCTCCGCCCGATTGCCCTGATCCGGAATTTTGCTAGAAACGAGAAGCCGCATTAGTACATATGCAACAATTTACAAACATCCACTCACAGTTCGCACTCCTCATTCCAGTTGACACTCGACTCGGCCTTCTCCTTGACGGACGTCTGGTACTTCTCCTTACCCAGGGCAATTGTGACAAAGCAATTGTTGGTGCCATTCTTGCCTTTGGTCAGCAGACCTCGCGCACGCTGAACTGTAAATGAAAGAGACGGACGAGTTAGACATATAGACATGAGAAGCGCATGGAAAGGCGGAATGTAATATAGGGAGTTATGTGAAAGGGAGTTATAGAGAGTGAATATATAAAGGTGTGAAAGCTTATAATTCAATTTGGAAGCATAAATTGAAATTAAAATAATATCGAGAATTTTTCATAGTGAAAAAGAAGCTAAAGACCATCAAGAATGCCCCATGATCTAAATAAACCTTATAAAGCCTTAGACTTAAGAGAGTGTAAATGAATACTAAAGCATTTATTGTATTATTTTTTGTTTTTAATAAATATAAATTTTAAATAAAAGAAACTCAAATTAAAATTAATATTGAGATTCTTTCCGAAGCAATATGAAACGAAGTTGAAATCATGAGCAAATTAAGTTAAGTTGAAACAAGTATTATTTATACTGGCTGTATTTTTAAACAATTGGAGTTGATGATCCGGTGCGTCGCCCTATAAGAAAGTTCATTCCTATTATCAGCTGTTACCAGGCTGCGCCGGCCAATGTCTTAATTTTGATTTGTCCGCCTACATTTCCGGCAGCTGTGTCAACAGCTCCAGCGACGACATTAAGGTCTCGAGAGCGTCGCCAAAAAAAAATGCATAATTTAAAATTCGCATGGATGGATTGTGAGTCAGTTCGGATGGTCGAACGGACGAACGGGCGGATTGCGTTGCTGCTGCTTTTTGATAGCGACCCAAAAGCAAATTTTGAAGTCGCTTCGAGTTTCACTTGAGAGCGCCTCGTGACCTCGACGAATCCACAACTAAAACCAAAGTCATAGCCAGAGCATGGCTCGACAGCATCCGGCTGATATGAAAACCGCGAAAAAAAAACCATAAGAAATAAAATCTAAAACAAAACATTTGCTTTCGGTATTTGTGGTGCGCAGAAAGTCGCAGCATTGTTTTAGATTCATGACGCTCAAATCGGTTCCAGTCCAGTTACATATATGCATAGGCAATGGAGACTCCATTTCACAGCTCTACTTCGAAGCACATAAATATTCAGACATCCATGAATCAGGAATATCAAGGGAAACTCAAAAACCAGAGAAACCTCATTACGAAAAATTGCATAATTTTGTATATGTTTGCTGCTTTATAAATATGATAAATGTAATATAAAATAAAGTACATAGATGGGTTTCTTTTAAATCTACAAATTCAATTTACTTATTTAGTTATTATTAAATTTTTTTTAAATTTATTTTGAATCGGGTATTATTAATTTGTATATTTTTTTCTATTTTTATTTTGATTCGGCTTATGTTATTTTACTATATGTATTTTATTTCTATTATTTTTTTCATATAAACGAAAATCGTTGTATGTATGTATGTATATCTTTTTATTTTAGATACCATGACTTAAGGATTACATATTTTTGCAATTTGTTTGCATTTGCATAAAATTTCAATTTTGTTGTATTTTAACTAATCGATTTGCAATGACTTTTGCTTATTGATTATTACATCGCTATTCAAATGTGCTTGGCGCAAAAATACCGTTAGCGCAACGCGAATTGCGCAAATTTGAGACTCGTAACAACAAAAACAACAACAGCAGCAGCTAACTGCAAAAGCAATAGCATAACGTATGTATAGTAAAAAGCGCTCAATAGAAAAGCAACGAAAACATTTTGCTAGTTTTTCCCTCGCTGTTTTCTTTTTCGCTTGCAAATTTGTTTGCCTTTTTATTTACGGTTTCGTTCATTGCAAGTGAAAGAGGTGATGGCGGCAGAGTCGTTCGTTTGCCTTTTACCCACAGTGGGCGTCTTGACGCCAAATAATTATTATTACATTAACATTTTTTCGCTTTGCACGTTCTGTTTTAGACCCGCATTTATCATCTGTTGCGGTTGTGGCTTTTCTTAAGCCAATTGGGGAACCTTTAGCGACGGACATCAACAGTTTCGCAGTCCACAAACACACACACACACACACACACACACATGCAAACAAAATATATGTTAATACACATACACATACACATGTATCTGCGCAAAAAATGAGGCTAGAGATAGCCGGGAATGGCACGCAGTGATGAGCAATAGATGAATTGATGATCACACTGAATGTATCCAATGAATATCGATAAACCGGTTCCAAGAGAAGCTCAGTGCAATTAAAAAAGAAAATAAAGAGTTAGAGATGGGCGCGCATTACAGTTTCACGCCACTTGTATATTCTAGTCTAATCTAATTCATTGTAGCATTATTATTGCTAGACTATGAATTGAAACTAAATTAATGTCTACTTATGAATTTAATTGTTGACTGATGAGTTCATTCAAATACCTACAATAGGTGCTCAATCATCGAATGTTTGTTTCCCCGCCACCAAAATAGAAATGCCAAGAGGTAAAATGGTAAATGTCAAATGGCAAAATTTGCCAAACAATGACAAAAACAAAACACATTGAGCAGAACGCGAAGAGCACAAAGAGCAGAGAGTGACAAAATTACAGAGAGCGCGCAGCTAGCAGTAAGGGAAACCGTTAAGTCGCCCCGTTTTATTTGTTCGCTCGCTTCGCACGGCACTCAAATTGCGGCTTTCGTTAGCTCTGGCTCTGGCTGTGGCTGTGGCTGTGGCATTCGGCATTCGGCATCATTTTCGCTTTTTGAGTCACGCTTTACAACCGAATGGCCTGTTCGTTCGCTCAATCTTCGATCTTTTATAGTGAGCCATTCCAAACATGTGTTTGTGACGGTGTGTGTGTGTGTGCCAAATCAACACCCAGAGCATTCTGTGCACTTAATGACATTCGATGTATTAATGAAGATGATTGAGGGAGGGCAGGGATACCGAGGTCAGCGGCGGGAGTGAGAGCCATAAGCGGCGCTACAAAAGCGTTCAACACGTAATTGAGTGCTTGTTGAGAGCAAACAGAAGCCCAAGTAAGCAAGCCACACGCTAGCGTCATCAATGAATTGTAGGCAAATAGTCAAACAAACACACCCACACAATACAATGCCTGTGTGAGTCAGAGAAACAGAAAGAGAGAGCGAGGGAGAGAGGGAGCTATGATGAAAGCAGGTGGATAGATAGTCGGCGCCCATTGTCATAAGAGTCAACAGACTCAATGCTCACAAAAAAACTAAAAAAAAAATAGTGAATGCTTACACACACACTCATACAAATTTACATATGTGCAAATACACACACACATACGTACACCCACTTACATATGTAGAGGTTATAAAAAGCGCTTAAAAATGAAATTTTGTATGCAAAACAACATTAAATTGTAGCTGAAAAAAATTGTAATTATGTTTTCATTTTTTTGTAAATTTTTTGTTTTTTTGTTTTTTGCTGCGCGAAAAAAAGTAAAAGAAAAAATACTTTTCTCCATGTTGAGCGTAATTAACATACATACATAGTACATAATTTTACTTTTTCACTATCAAAATCAGGCAATTCGATATCAATTTTGACTCACAAATATTAACAGTTTTGCTTTTGTTTTTAATTAAGCTGAAGTTACGAACTTTGTTACAAATTCAAATAACATTTGATAACATTTCGTTACGAGTTCTACCTTAGACGATTAGATAAATAAGCTCAATAATTTGGATATTTGCATATGAATTTGTCATCTCTCGAAAAAATTTAAGCTATTGTTAAAACTGAAATCGAAAAAAAAAACTATTTGTTAATAATAAATTCTTGTATTATTCACATGTCTGGAATTCGTTATCTGTTATCTGCAAAGCTGGCTAACAAAGTTCTTCTATCAATAATAATCGATAACAATGACTTGATTTATATAGAGCTCTAATAAAAAGTTGTCACACACTAGACCAATTTGATAGAAGTTGAAATAAAATACTCGTAACACGTACAAATATGTGTACATACATACATATATGGATATTTGTGTATACATATGTATGTACATATGTCTGTCTATACCTATATATATCACATAGCACATATGTATGTATGTATGTATCTGTGTTTGTTTATTGTCAATTATTTTAATGCCTCGCATGACCCGCAAACTCAAACGTAGACAAAGGTAAATTCATACAAGCACATACACACATATACATACATATGTATATACACACACATAGCTACTGCACCTTTTCAATTGTGCGAGAATGAGAATAACAAAAGCAACAAGTTGAAAATTATAATACTCAACTAAAAGATATCCTATAAAATTGTTAATTATTATTAATTAATTATTATTTTAATTAAATTAATTTAAAAATGACAATAATAAAATAAATAATTTGTATATATTTTTTTAATTTTTGTACTTATTTATTAATTAACTAACATAAGCGCACTATGAATTCTTTGCAATGATTTGTTGTTGCCTTTTCAATCAATTATTTTTTACAGGGTATACCACCAACAACAGAAGTAGCAGCAGCAGTAACACCATCGACAACACCAACAACAACAACACCACCAACAATGCAACTGTCAATTGTCGCTTTTGTGTTGGTTTTGCTCTTTTAACATATTGCTGGCCTTTGCTTCTCTCGAGGAGGTCAACATTTGAGGTTAATTTATTTCAATGAAATCATTGCCAAGCTTTGGTCTATAAATCCCGTCTGCCCCTGCACGCCCTGCTCCAGCCAACTGCTCCACACTCTGTACCAGGAAATTTGGTTTTGAAACATTTTTGGGGTTTCACAAGAAACATTTCTAATAGATTGTATTATGGCTTCCAGTTCTAGTGCGATGATGTCAGTGCGCTTATCTTCATTATCATTATCATTATTATCTTAATTATCTTGATTATCTTGATTATCTTGATTACCTTTTCGAAGCAGTCAAATTGAAAATTCAAATTTGACTAAGAAAAACCCAAAATGAAATAGCTGAAACAAAGGTAAGAACTTTGCAATTGGATGCAAACGACGGCATAATACTCGTTCAGGGATCAAATATAGGAGAAATGAGAGAGAGAGAGAGAGAGAGAGAGAGAGAGAGAGAGCGAGAGAGAAAGATAAATAACGA